CCTCTCTCTCTCTCTCTCTCTCTCTCTCTCTCTCTCTCTCTCTCTCTCTCTCTCTCTCTCGCACTCTCTCTCTTAGCCGGATGGAAATTTTCCATCCTGCACGAGCATTACATACGTACAAAATAACATGATATTAATGAAGTCATCGAGATAAGAGTTGCTGACTAAATAATCGAATGGTTCGAACCTTGACCTTGAGAAAGAAAAAGAGAAAGAGAAAGAAAAAGAAAGAAAATGCGTCGATGCAATCGCGGTTATTTTTTTTGTCTTACTGCTCATTTGAACATTTCGCAATCGCTGATGATGAGAGAGAGTAGGAAAGAGATAGAGAAAGGGCGCGCACAGGCTGCGATTAAGAAGCGGCGAGGCGATCGGTTAATTGATCGAGTAATTAATTTAGAGGGAAGGGAGAGATCCCAAAGCCGCGATACGTTCTCGATACAACTCGTCTCTCCGTCTTCCCCGTCGATGAAAGGAGATGGGATGAATTCTCCCAGAGAGGTGTAACACGCTTTGTATCGCGGTGGAGAGTCTCGCGAATCTTTACGATATCGAAGGCGCCGAGTTATCGACGCGATTATTTGGGGAATAACATCGGGTGCGAGGATGCACACGGCGCGGTTTAACCCCTGCACTTCCTCCGCACAGGCGGCCAGACCAAGCGCGGCTTACTGAGTACAGGCGGGAGAGAGGAGAGGTAATTTATTCCGGCTTTACTTAATCTCTTCCTTCGCGTGTCTCGTCGGCCCGGCGAGTCGTGCTTCTTTAATCCAAATTCCAGATCGAGAAAGGGAACGAGCGAGCGAGCGAGCGAGAAAGAAAGAAAGAGAAAGAGGAGGGAGGACTGAGAGATCTAGAAACGCGCGCGAGTCTCTCGAAATCCCTCGACAGTGAATCAGATTATCGTTCGGAGTAAATCGTCGGCGCACCGCGATCATTTACCGCGCATTTTTAGCTACGACAACGCCAAACACTTCGTAGAATAATGATGTTTGGGAGTGCTTAATCCCCGTTAAAGTGTCCCTCGCTCGCTTGGCGCCGTTGGGGAAAACAAAGACTACGGAATGGAACGAGGCGCACGAAAATGTTTGGGTGTGTTCTCTAAATTTCTCGGAAGTGGAATATCGCTCAAAATGAGCGAGAAGTGGTAATACATCCACATAGATTTTCGTAAATTTTCACGGCGTGAGACAAAATAGTGATGACAATTTTGCAATTTTTTTCGATTGCATCGATGAGATAAATATACTGTGTGTATAGAATTAATCATTAAATTTACATAAGACAATATAAGTTTCTTATTGCATCAGCGACAAATTTATTAAAAGTTGCAATCAGATTTTCGTATTACGTTTTACACGATATATTGTTTTGAGAAATTTTTGATAATTTTCTCGTAAATTTCCTTTTTATCTCTATTTTATCACTCTACGTGATAAATATGAGAGAGATCCATATGAACCACTTGTAAGGGATGCAATATTTACAAATTGATTACAATGAGAGAAAGAAATATTTAATAAGTAGTAAATATTTATTCGATAAATGCTAACAGCATATTTTTAGTATAAGATATTTGTCAAATGAAAAAATATACATTTCTTGAAAACTTTAAAAGAATCTCATAAAAGCATTTATTTATTCTATTTAAAACATTTAAATTTAAGTAAATATGCTGTATTTACTTAAAATTTTTTAAATTTAGTTAAATTAGTATTTACTACCAAATAAATATGTACTAATTTTTAGATATCTTTTCTCTCAGAATGCAATAGAGTTACTGCCACGTACACCTGTCTATCTGATCTTCTGGAGACTATGGTGCGTAAATAAAATTGCCGCTTCTAGCGCGGAGATTTTGGTGAATTATAAAGCTCCACGAGAGTCCGAGCACGGACTGGATGGACTGGAAGTGCCGCGAAATTGTCTTGAGCGAATCATAAAGCGAGTAACAGTGTTCGCTTCCGGTGTTTACACGAGCAAAACGCTGCCGCCGCCGCGGTTGCCGCGAGCGGCAGGCGGAGGTCCGCGTGAGCGCAAACGATAATATACACGCGAGATGAATTGCACGAGTGTTTCTTTTTGCCCCCGCAATTGTCCGCGATCGCGTGGCTCCTGAGCTCCTTTCTTACATCCTGTGCGATTATTGCTCGTTATTTTTCCCGCGAAATCTAAAACTACGCGCTTCGTCTCAGACGACGAAGATTCTCTTTCAAGTCCGCGACAGATGTCCAATAAATTCGCGTACTCATAATTTAAAAAAAAAAAAAAAAAAAAAGAAAAACGGAAAGAGAGGGAGTTTTGAAGCGATATTTCTGAGGAAAACATTTTCAGTATAAATATCAGGATATTGTCGTCTTGCTTTTTCCGTACAGCATCCGCCGAGTAAGCGTGACTTACGCATCGCGAAAGCCCATGCCATGACTGGTCGTTCTCTGCCGTCTTTTCCCCGGCAGCAAACGCCCGCGAATCGCGCAATACGGATTACCTGTGTACAGTGTGGCGTATTGTGTGCTACTTCTCCCGGGACCTTCGCGATCCTCGCCACCGCACTTGCTTCCTCTACGTAAGGAACGCGAAGTGCGCGTGAAGGATTTATTTCATGAATACGAGACGTGAGCGAGCGGCACGAGGATATTCGAGGAGCCACACGAGGACGAGAGAGAAAGGGGGCAGAGAGAGAGAGAGAGAGAGGCCGAGAAAGGACGAGAACGGTCGGATGATCGAGGTAGGAGGAGCGAGAATTGCAAGTAAGCTTGTAAGAAGCGGCCTACGATTTATTTGACACATCGCGCCGACCGCTCGCGAGCTAGAGTGGTTTATTTTATAAGACCAGATTGCCGGCCTCGCTCCACCGGAATAGAATAATGAACGTTTCTCTCCTTCCTTCGTAGTACAACCTCCCCCTCCTCCTCCAACGCGTCCTCCCTTCCTCTCTCACTCTTTCCACCCCTCATCGTCATGAAAGTCGAGTGTCGTTCGAGAACGTTTCTCTTCGCGCCACGTCGCGACTCCCTTCGTCCTCCTCGTCAAACGGGATTAAAACCTCAGAACGCTAACATTTGCTTCTCCACAGTCGCTAGAGAAGACGTGTCTTCGGTGTGCAGGGAAAAAATCCCAGAGATAAGAGGAAAATGCGTCAGGCTGAATTATTGGTCGCTACAGATAAATCGCGAGTCCAAAACGACGGGAAGATTCGACTTGGGCAAGACGGAACCGTCCACGAAAATTTGAAGTCTTCCTTCGCAGCACATGCCCGAGTCGAAATTTCGAACCTAATTTCGGCCTTAATGTTCCATTTGATATCTATTATACTATAATATTCTGAAGCTTACTCTCTCGAAGTGAATCAGTAAAAATATTTCCGGTTGAATGAGAAACAGAATAGAGAGAGCATTTACTAACCTAATAATAAGTAAACCTATCCAAAAGATACACTCCAAAAGGTACACTCCAAAAGATAAAGACATTTTTGTCGTTAATGATAAGAATGAAAACATTAAAAAGCTGCCCGTGAAATGCAAAGCGGGTCAAAATGAAAAAATATGACCTAAGTATTTTTTGTACTTTTACTTTTTGTGCTAAATTAGAAAGAGTTTGAAAGGATTTCAAAGAATCCTCTTTAGACCACACATAAGAGTAAGATCCTCTAGGATTTAGAAAGTCTGCTAAGGATGAGATTACATTTTTTTTGTAAACAAAGCATGTACGCGTCTGAGGAGCGTATGGTTTCTAAAATTAAAACAACGCGATTTCTTTTCGCCGAAAGTTCACCGGCATTGATTTCTCTTCCTCTTCCTCCCTTTCTCTCTCTCTCTTTCTCTGTCTCGCTCTCTTCATTTCGCGATATGGATTCTCGCAACGAATCTTACGGCTCTTTGTCTTCGGATGTATGCTGGGGAGTTTTAATTCAGAGCGAGTACGTCATTCTCACTAGCCGGTTTTTTACGGCGACGCTGTTGTATCTTATTGACCACGCTTTCGTCACGATCGAATTAACGATAATACCCGTTATATTATCTCCTTATCCTCGGCAACAGAACGCATTGATATTAATTCATTTGGTAATCGCGGCAAGATACCAGATTATACACGATAAGATAGGAAAAGAAATATTTCAAATAAAAACTTACCGAATGCAGGTCGCGATGACTTTTTCGGCGTTCGTCGTCCTGTCACGTAAGATTGTCAAAGCACGAGAGACCTCGAGCAGTGGCACGTACTCTATCTTCTTGCACGTGCATCGACTTTGTGATATAATTGCGAATAAGTCTGAAAAATAAGAAACCAGAGTTTACGCACTTATATAAAAACGACACACACAAAACGGTGTTATTCTATCGCCAGGGAAAAAACGATTACTCAGTTTACTTTTTTCTTGTTAAGTAATGCTTATCTTCAACGAAAAATATTTTTTTGATAGTAGTCTTCAAATATACTCATCGGAAATTCGAGAAAGATTCATCGTCATGTACTCAAAAGAAGAATGTATTCTCTCTTTGCAAGAATGTCGTGAAACTTTATTGAAGAAAACGTTAATTCGACTATGTAATGAGCAAGCCGAGTTGTCTTAATTTAATACCTTCAACTGAAATGCTAAGCCTGCTTAGCATTTCAGAATGTACTCTCAATAAATTTAACACTTATGACGTATATTTATACGATAACTTTTTGGATGTATATATTTACAAAATACTTGAAATAAATAATATGTTACTTGAACGCAGTATGTGCATTTCAGTGAATGCTAATCTGGAATTCGAAACGAGATGTATTTCTGCGCGACAAAGAGATTTGATTCAACTAAAAAAATGTCTGATGAAACATGAACGAATCAGAAATCCCGGTTGAAGCTACCAGAATTCTGTCAAGATAAGCAGAACTTGCAATTGCTCAACTTGAAACAATTGCAAGTTCTGATTAACCAGAAGTCCTGATTTGTTAATCAGAATCTTGTTAACTTGAACAGAATTCTGGTTCGTTTACATTTCACCAGATATACGATTAATTCAATCAAACTTTTCTTCCACGTGTGTCAAGAAAACTTTAGCAACCGTCGTAAATGCTTCTTCAGAAGCAATCGCTGAGGGACTCGCAGCACGGCACTACACGTTTATTTAAGAGGTCAAGGAAATCATGATAGATGATGTTGACACACATCCCTAGATTATAACAGTTTCAGACAATTTTATAACATATTTATTATAAAAATTGTTTAACATGTTCCTGTTCCGCGCGTGTTTGTATGTATTTCCCTTGTTACTCCTTTCGCTCGGGTACAGCCTGTATACACGAAGCTCCTTATTCCGTACATAGATCATTATCACTGTGAATCATTATCTCGATTACTGGTGCATTAAATCGATTACAGATGGATGAAAAGTGCGGAAAAATAGTGCCGGCGTTCGCGCCATGCTCGCATCCTGCTCATCGGTAAAATACGTTCAGCGTTCGATTTTCGATATCGAAGGAGCAACGTGCGAGTCGGAGCGCGGTGAACGGTCGCTGGACTTTATACGTGCACCACGTGTAACCCGTCGCCTACGTCAACGCGTATAAATATTGCTTTTTAATGCGTCAATATGTCCGGGACTTTCGACGCGCATCGCGTTACGAGATTTGCGAGATTGGCCACTGTATCTCCCGTGTGCTCGCGCTCTGCCGCAGAAATTTATTAATAACCGCCAGACACGCGCATGTATTTATATATTTACGAAAGCAGGCGCTGCGCCTTCGAAATGGATTCTAGGAAGAAAAACCCCAGCCTACGCGCTATACACGCCGGTTAAACAACGCGCGGAGCCACCGCCGTTTTCACGCGCAGTCCTTGCAATAAAATGTCTCGAGTATGGCGAACATTAGAATGGAATGGAAATCTCGCGTGTACAGTGGGTGTAAATCATGCTGGCTCTCGTCCAATCGTACGGCCAACATGGGACATTAACGTTCATCGTGTCTGAAGTACGCTTATTGCGAAAACTCTATTAACGAGAACGAGGCGCGATCGGACTCGCCGTCTTCGCGGAATGACGATTCTAGATCGTTAATCGTGCATGCTAGTCAATCTGCGTGTTAGAAGCGCCGTCCTCCTTAACCCTTAGGCGAGCTACTGCGTTATTTTCATCAACGTTAATTACGACGTGGAGTCCCCGACTGACTCTATTTTGTTTCTATTAGATAAGACAAAAGTAAGACGAAGGACATTAGGTAATATTTAAATTAAGAATTCACTTGTATTCCTTAGTATTTTAACTGAAATTTTTTTTGAAAGATTTTATAAAAAAACTATTCTTAAGGTCCTCTCTCTCAAAACCCCACATCGTAGCAAAGATGAAAAATTACGTTGATGGGAAAAAAGTGAAATGAATAAAATGAAAAAAAAAAAAAAAAAAAAAAAAAAAAAAAA